GTTCCTTTAAATATTGCTTTCTTGATTTCTCAAAATACACTGCATATAATTTAAACAAACACAAGTTTCTAGTTTGTCCCTATAATAAATATTTCATATTCCCATCATGTTTTGGTCCAAATCATTTACCTCCGATGTCCTTTTGTGTGTTTAAGAACTAGTGTCCAAAATACCAAAATAGCCTTTTTTAGTGGGGTCTACCTGTTGACTAATAAAGAGGTAAATTCAGACTTTCAAAATGTGAGCCAATAACCTTTGTTATGCGTGCTTTTACCTCACTAATTAAACTATAAACAGAAGTTTACATCACAGCTCAATGATGGCACTTCAGCTGTTGTTGACCATGCTTGTGAAGATGATCTACCAAACCAATAATGGAATCTCTATGGACATTATAGGATTAGACATTTTTGCACACACCAAATCTGACTGAATTAATAGGTCACTGTTCAGTATGCATCTTGTCTATATTCTCCATGGAAGCTCTCAGCCTTATGCTATCTACTTTACATACACATTAAAAATTAATCATCGTCAGAGCACACTTCATTTTTATAACTTATATATGTTTTGCATTTGGTTTATAGCCACACATTTAATTCACATTTTCAATAATATCCTTCCAGCGCAGCATATTAGCATTTGATTTTTGTGTGCAATATGCTCCTGGATATGGCATATAATCATTACATCTGGTATTCTGAACTGCAGTCTCTTGGGGATTGTCTTTTATAATCCTACAAATTCATTTGTGCCAATATTGTAACTTCTCAACAGATCTTGTGTTGCCATGGTAACTTGTGAATGTGAAAAACGATTATTTTATACTTAAAAAAGAGAGAGAGAGAGATAGAAAGAGAAATGTGTGTCATTATTTCATTAACTATTCTGTCGACATTTATTTTGATGGATAGCAATAAATGTTATGTAAAGTATGTAGCCCTTTGGAAAAAATCTTACTGAATTTGAAACCCAGGAAATCTTTTTCCTGCATCATGAACATGGCAAATGTTGGGAACAAATTAGGAATTCATCCTTATTCATTTCTATTTAATTTTCATATTAAAAGAGGATATTCCTCCTGAATAATCCATGTAAATGAGAGTCTCCATTTTGAAAGACATTGTTTGACATCATATCTGAGATTGTAAATTTAGAGCCAATCATGCTAAATCACTGAAATCTTGTTATTTTAAGAATATACCTGCAACATCATGGGGGGAGTGTCAGGCACAGATTTAGGCAGGTGTCAATGTGAGATGTTTCCCTAGTTGATATGTGTATGCAGTACACTGTAGAATCATAAAAAGAAAAAATGGAAAACACAGAATGATACAGCCGCACAAAGACGAGTGTATCTAACTGTATTAGTCTGGAAAAAATAATAAAGTAGTCACACAAACATAGACTGATAAAGTGTATCTCCTTGTAGTCAAGAAAAGATAAATAGATAGACAACGTCTATCCCACAACCCCAATATGAAATATAGGTATATAAAAATAGGACACCAAAAATGAGCTTTAATAAGTAATGCTCAAAGGTGTTCTCTAGCATAACCAATGCCTCAATAGAGAACACCTTTGAGCATTACTTATTAAAGCTCATTTTTGGTGTCCTATTTTTATATACCTATATTTCATATTGGGGTTGTGGGATAGACGTTGTCTATCTATTTATCTTTTCTATTTATCTTTCTTGACTACAAGGAGATACACTTTATCAGTCTATGTTTGTGTGACTACTTTATTATTTTTTCCAGACTAATACAGTTAGATACACCCGTCTTTGTGCGGCTGTATCATTCTGTGTTTTCCATTTTTTCTTTTTATATATAACTTGGGATTAAGCCCCTGGAGCCTGCTGGAGTCTCCATTAGGTACTGGACAAGTCTCCCTGTACCAGTAGTGCTAACTCTGTTGGGTTCTACATGGTTTAGGTTGACTTTTCTTTCTCTTTGTTCACTGTAGAATCATACCTGCACGGCTGCACCAGTGCTTAGAAGTGTTGCCAGTGTAAGCATGTCATATACTTACCTCCATTACACAAATGTGTAGCATGCATGAGGTATCGCTCACTCATTGTTGGTACAACACTACAGTAAGCAGAATGAAACAGTTTATCTGGACTTCCCCAAGTACAATATCTAGCTCAAAAAAACGGACAAATAATAAAAAATAAATCAAATAAACTTAACCTTTATTGAAATAAATAGAAGAAAAAATGTGAAAAGAAAAAAAATCGATTTTTTTCTTTTCACGTTTTTTTCTTCTATTTATTTCAATAAAGGTTAAGTTTATTTGATTTTTTTTATTTTTTTTTATTATTTGTCTGTTTTTTTGAGCTAGATATTGTACTTGGGTAAGACCTGAGTCTGTGTGGTATTATTCTGAATACCAGGAGTGTATCTTGGTGTTCTTTTCATATCACACAGTAACTCAGTACTTGTTCCTCTCCTTTGTCTCTTTGAATTATATATGGGGTTATGCCCCTTTCTTACCCATTTAGTCCATTCTTTGACTATCGGGCTAACATTGTTTGACAATTTAGTCTTTGCTCTTTGTGCTCTTATCTGGACTTCCAGTGACTGCTTTTCCAGTACTGAAAAAACTAAGCGGTAGAGTAGAATAGTTCCACAGGGAACCATAAACGAGGTTCAAAGGTCATTTCGCTGCAGATGAAGGTGGACCAGCATCCAGCACATATATGTGGCCACTGTTATACTACAGATTAAAAAATGGCTCTACTACACTCATAGAGGTAGGAAGAAAGGTTTTAAAAGCCTGATTCCCCAACTTTTGCAAGCCCATTCCTTCAGTGAGCAAGCCTGATTGTCTGTAAAGCCTGATTCTCCAACTTTGCAAGCCCATTCCTTCAGTGAGCAAGCCTGATTGTCTGTAAAGCCTGATTCCCCAACTTTTGCAAGCCCATTCCTTCAATGAGCAAGCCTGATCGTCTGCAAAGGTAGCCTTCTGGAAGACCACACTAAGACTCTATCCTGCACACCTTCATTTATTTTTAACTTAACCACCCTGTACATTTATTTTATTTTTATTTAATATATCCTGTGTACATTGTATATTTTCTTGTTTTCTTGTATTTATATCTTGTATTTTATGCTAAAGTGTAGTTTTGCTAGCCCTGTATGTAATTGTCTTATTCACCTATATGCATTCCTCTATTTCCCCTCTGATTTGTGACTGACCTCTGACCTCTCCCTTTTCTTATTGATATGTTTGTTTTTATTTGAATATCCATCTCTTCATCTCTGTACCTAGATACATTTCCCCCTCCCTTACCTTTATTGCAAGCTCTCTGACCCTCACATCTCTTTATTCAACAGCCTGATTCCCCAACTTTTGCAAGCCCATTCCTTCAGTGAGCAAGCCTGCGAACCCAAACGACTATTTCGCACATTTATCTCTCTTCTTCGCCCTGCTGTTCCTCCTCCACCTACTAACTTGACCGCCACAGACTTTGCAACTCACTTCACTGACAAGATCTCTACAATCAGAGAAGAGATATCTCATCCTTCTTCTTCCCCTTACAATACTTCCCCTAACTTCACTCCCTCTGCTGTTCTATGTTCATTCGCACCCGCTACATTGGAAGAGGTTTCTGCTCTGCTCCAGTCCTCCCGCCCCACCACCTGCTCCCTAGATCCAATTCCCTCGCACCTCATCCGTACTCTGTCTTCTTCTCTTTCTCCGCCTCTCACTAAAATTCTCAATCTTTCTCTCTCCTCTGGTATATTTCCATTGCCCTTCAAACATGCAACTGAAACCCCAATTCTAAAGAAGCCCAATCTTGACCCTAACTCCCCATCCAACTATCGTCCTATCTCGCTACTGCCTTTTGCATCCAAGATCCTTGAAAAAATTGTGTATGCGAGATTGACAGACTTCATCGAGTCCAACTCTCTGCTAGACCTGCTTCAATCTGGTTTCCGCGCTAAGCACTCTGTGGAAACGGCACTGACCAAAGTATGTAATGATCTACTCGCTTCAAAATCTCGTGGTCACTACTCTATCCTAATTCTCCTTGACCTGCCTGTAGCTTTTGACACTGTTGATCATCAACAGCTTCTTCTCATCCTCCGCAATATCGGTCTACAAGATACTGCTCTCTCCTGGTGCTCCTCCTACCTCTCCCAGCGCTCTTACAGTGTTTCTTTCTCTGGCTCTGCTTCTTCTCCCCAACTCCTCTCTGTTGGTGTCCCCCAAGGTTCAGTTCTCCATCTATACTGCCTCCCTTGGTAAACTCATTAGCTCCTTTGGCTTCCAATATCATTTCTATGCGGATGACATGCAAATCTACCTGTCCTCTCCTGATCTCTCCCCGTCCCTCTTGACTAGTGTCTCTGACTGCCTCTCTGCTGTTTCTGACTGGATGGCTGCCCACTTCCTTAAACTAAACTTGACCAAAACTGAAATTCTGGTCTTTCCTCCCTCAAGTGTTGTTGCTCCTGTGTCTGTCTCTTTCCAAGTCAACGGTGCTGTAACGGAGCTCCCTGTACTCCGACCGAGTACCCTCCGTTGACGGATGCTCCTAGCGCTTCCTGAGGACTCCAAGCGATGCAGCAGACACCACAACCACAGCAGACTCCGCAACCGCCGTATCTTGACTGGAGTCTCGCCGTCTTCCTTCCACCCTGGATCAGCTTCTGTCCTCCAGGACTGTGTGGGAAAGAACTCTTCCTTCCACCCTGTATGAACCTCCAGCATCCAGGACTGTGTGGTGAAGACACCTCCTCCAAGGAGAGCATGTCAGGAACAAGCTCTTAAAAGAGCTAAGTGACTCAAGCTCAGGGGAGCATGCAGAGCATAGCAATCCCCAGTGTGTTATAACAGCTCCCTCCAATAACGAGACAAGGCTACGTTTAGAGGGATCAAGAAGAACTGTCAAAACCTTTATTTCCCTTGGGACCAGCCAATAAGGTCACCACAATAACATTGTTGTGAAACCTCAATAAAATCACAAACAGTCAAACCATATCAAGCAACACACAGTGACTTATCACAACACAATGGCACATTTTTTAAAGGGGTGGGGGGAGACAATATTTAACAGTAAATATCTCACCTGCCTGCAGAATTAGCAATATGCAAATCTACCCGAATATGCAAATGAACCAGTCTTGCAATTCAGGTAGTGCATATTGCTGTTGCTACCAACAGAGGGCACTAGACAAGCTCCATAGCCAAATCCACCTAGTTGGTAGCAAACCTCAGCAATACAAGAGAGCAGGCAATACATTACACAGTACACACACACACTATAAACAATTACATTACACACACCCTGCACCTATAATGGGTACAGGGTGACTAAAACATAAGATAAATAAAGCAGCCTACATAAATAGTCTGTCTGAAGGTAGACTAGGGGCTTTAAAGCCAGATACATGAAAGAGTCATAGTCACAGGGGAGGAGGCTGGCAAGTAGGCCTCTCCAGGACCAAGTGGCGAAGGGTACTTCGTCACAGGTGCTACCATCAGCTCCACCACGCAGGCTCGCTGCCTAAGTGTTCTCTTTGACTCCGACCTCTCCTTCAAGCCTCATGTTCAATCTATCGCCAAATCCTCTCATTTCCATCTCAAAAACATTGCGCGCATCCGCCCCTACTTAATGCCTGATGCGACTAAGGTGTTGGTCCATTCCACTGTCCTTTCTCGCCTTGACTACTGTAATCCGCTTCTCAGTGGTCTTACGTGCTCCCAACTAGCGCTGTTACAGTCCATAATGAATGCGGCGGCGAGGCTCATCTTCCTGTCCGCCCGCACCTCCCAATGCCTCATCCCTCTGTCAGTCCCTACATTGGCTTCCTATAAAATATAGAGCTCAATTTAAAATTCTGGTTCTTGCTTTCAAATCTCTACATAATGCTGCTGCTCCCACCTATCTATCCTCCCTTATACACAAGTATGTCCCGTCTAGGCCCTTACGATCTGCTGAAGACTTACATTTTATCTTCAGTCTGTACTCCCACCTCTGATGCTCGCCTTCAAGATTTCTCGAGGACTGCACCGTTCCTGTGGAACTCGCTTCCCTCCTCCGTTAGATGCTCACCCAGTCTCCACTCCTTCAAAAATCATTAAAAACCCACTTCTTCATAAAAGCATATCAATTAAACTGTTAATAGCTCCCGACTGACTCCTCTTCTGCAACTGTCACTAGTCTAATACTATCCTTACCTTTTGTGTTATTTTACCCCACTCCCTCTAGCATGCAAGCTCATTGAGCAGGGCCTTTAACCCCTCTGTTCCTGTGTGTCCAACTTGTCTGGTTACAACTACATGTCTGTTCGTCCACCCATTGTAAAGCGCTGCGGAATTTGATGGCGCTCTATAAATATCATAATAATAATAATAATAAAAGTATAACACATCCATTGGATAGCGTCAAGGTTTGCAGCATTAAAATACAATACAAATGCATTTCTTGATACATAAATATTGTTGCTTATATATAACAGTTCTGAGTGAGGCTGACCTTGTCAGCAGTTATAATTGCAAGTTATGTGATGAAGGTGTTCTGTGTATAGACAGGCCCTGTATTGTATGTTTGCATGGGAAGGCTGCTTGTGGTGCTTCAGTATGGGGATGCTGCATGTGATGTGTGGGGAGGTTGCATGTGCGAGTGCATTTGGAGAGTCTGCATGTGTTGTTTATGTGGAGTGCTTGTGCATTTGAAGTTTGCGTGTAATGTGTGAGGGATGGCAATGCAAATTATTTGTCAGATGGCTGTCACCGTGGTGCATACAGAGGGGAGTTAAGCCTGTTGGGTGCTGTGAACACAGTGCATTGATTGACACATCTAAAGTTTTCTTAAAGGGACACTATAGTCACCCAGACCACTTCAGCTCAATGAAGTGATCTGGATGACAGGTCCCTCAGGTTTTAACCCTTCACATGTAAACCTAGCAGTTTCAGAGAAACTGCTAGGTTTACATAGCAGGGTTAATCCAACCTCTAATGGCTGTCTTCCTGAACATTGAGAAATGCTTTCCTATAGATTGTTAGAATGCGTGCGCGGCTCTTGCTGCGCATGCACATTCCGCTCCACTCGGGTGCTGAAGTCGGCGGGGGAGGAGAGGTCACCAGCGCCGAAGAAGCCCGGCGCTGGATTAAGGTAAGCTGCTGAAGGGGTTTTAACCCCTTCAGCGCCACGAAAGGGGGACCCTGAGGGTGAAGGTCCCCCAATGATGACATGGTGCCAGGAAAACGGGTTTGTTTTCCTGACACTATAGTGATCCTTTGATGGTGATATTACTGATATCTAGAAAGGGTGATACTTTCCACTATTGAGAAATGACAACTTCCCTCTCATTAAAGGAGGGGTACATTAAAGGCACAGGCCAAGGGCCATAATCACTAATATAGCACAGTGCAGTGATTAAGGTGCTAGGAGTGACCTGACATTTCCAAATGTAAGTATTAAAACTATTTATTAATGGTTTAATTACTTACATTGGGTCCATCAGGCCCAACTCCCTGCCTCCCAGAGAGACAAACACGATCTGCCTGAGAAAAGCCTCACAGAGCAACATCAGGACACACCTGGCACCATACCCATTATAGTGTGCTACAGTGATTACGGTGCCTCAAGTGTTCCTTTGAGAAACAACCTCACACTGAATTTCAAATACATAAGACAAAAGGCAGAAAGAGCATGTGATAGCTTGCAAATTTAAAAGTACCATTTTATTTTACTTGCTACTCTAGTTCTTTCATTATGCGTAACAGAATCACAGTGCAGAGCCTCATTTTAGTGTGGGTTGCCTTAACCATAAGATTAGTACTCTGTTCTCTTACAGTGTTTCAGGCAAACACAACTGATCAGCTTCATCATCCCTCGTGACTACACTGATTTGTTTTTATGCTGTTCTACTCTAAAAGACAACATAAAAAATATATAACATTGTTTTATCTTGTAGTTATTTTAATATTGAATGCAAAAGTTAAAATTAACTATGATGTATAGTAACTATAATTTATGGAATATAAAACATATTATTATTTCATATTTATTATTTTTATTACAATTTAAAACATATTAAACTACCTTGAAAAAAGACAAATCGAATGTCCGGATTAAACTTTTCTAAAAACTATTTATTTACTAAACGTGCATTGGTGGAGAATTGAAGGGATGTTGCATAGTTTAGCAAAATAACTGATTTAGAACAGTTAACACCAAGATATTTTTTTTCCCAGTTTTTTTTTTTTGTCATGACTATTGAAAATTCCATGTAAAATCTCTACAATTCACAGTTGTTGAGTTATATTAAAGAAGAAGATATTCTTAGTAAAACATTTATTTTTTGACCTCACAACACCGATTACAATATTTATAATGTCATAGTGAAATAAAAACAGTTACTAGATCATCTGGGTCAGAGAACACCCAACATTGGCAGAGGTATCCTGACAGATGCATTTTGAGTTTTTCAATTCACACCTAAATTTGGAAATCAGGCTTTCTAAAACCCTGTTAAACGATTTATACATTTTAAAATGTTTTACGATGAAGTATTTGTTAATAATACATTCAATGTTAGACATGGTTGCAACGATTGTATCATTGCAAGCGCAAATTGAACACTCGCCGCTTGGATAAGAAAATATTTATTTCACATTCTTCTTAGAAGAAACCCTATGAGTGTCATTATCATTGGTACTCTTGTCTCTTAATTAATCATATAAAAACTATTCAGTGATTCAACCTCCTAAATAGCATTGCACGTAGAAAATTAATAGTAGATCATCTTAGGGACAAAGAGAGAAGATGTTACTTTTTTCCATTTTTGGGATTTTTTTTTTCTATTGATTGATTCATTTAGTAATTTATTTTATGTTTCTCATAATTTTCTTCTCTTTGTCATCAAATTGTTCAAAGGAACACTATAGTGTCAGAAAGCACTTCTAGTGGCCGTCTGAGTGACTTCTACTAGAGGTGTCCCTAGGCTGTAATGTAATCACTGCCTTTTTTCCAAAAAGGCAGTGTTTACATTAAAAAGCCTGCAGGAGCATACTATACATACCAGAACAACTACATTAAGCTGCAGTTGTTCTGGTGACTATAGAGTCCCTTTAATTAATACATCTGCTATAATACTTATTTAACTGGCCTATATGACTTTATTTGGCTTTATTAAAAATATTCCAAGGTTCCCATCAATTATTTTAGAATGTCTATTCACTAGTAGAGCTATTGTGACTTGGCAACCAACAATATAGGCCAACATATTTATATTTAGAGAAATTTCCAGTTCATCTAATTTGGCCTATGTTTTGCTGGTTTGTTGTCTGACTACTGCAACTAACTATGAATGACTGTTGGAAAAATCCTTCAGTATCAAAATACAAGCTATGCAGTCAGATTAATAGGCAACACATATGTGTACATTGCCTCTTTCAGACAGTTTTCCTGTATTCCATCTCAGCATCTACAGCATACGTGCTGTAATTAAAGGGACTCCCCAGTGCCAGAATAACATATCCATTTTCCTGGCACTGCAGAACCCTGCAGTGCCCCTCTCCCTCCCAACCCCCATCCCATGCTGCTGAAGGGGTTAAAACCTAATTCAGTGACTTACCTGAATCCAGCACCGATGTCCCTCGGCACTGGGTCTGGCTCCGCCCACGCTCCTCCCCCGCCGACATCAGCTGGCGAAGGAGACCTAATTGGCATGCGTGGTAATGGCCACGCATGCACATTAGACTCCCCATAGGAAAACATTATTTAATGCTTTCCTATGGGGATTCCAGCGACGCTGGAGGTCCTCATGCATAGCGTGAGGACGTCCAGCGTCGTTTAAATTTTTTTTCGTGTTCTAAGAACATGTGGCTGTCTGATAGATAGCCACTAGAGGAGGACTTAACCCTGTGAGGTAATTATTGCTGTTTATAAAAACTGCAATAATTGCACTTGCAGGGTCAAGGGTGGTGGGAGCTGGCACCCAGATCACTCCAATGGGCAGAAGTGGTCTGGGTGCCTGGAGTGTCCCTTTAATGTGATTATTCCCAATGGGCTCAAGACCACAAGTATCTTGTGCTTTACTTGGAGAATATAAGAATGTAGTGCCAGCATCATAGGAGAGGAGTACAATGCTTTGAGAAGTGCCAATGTACTTCTCAAGAAAGGTAAATCAGTTTGGCAAACTAAAGTCATGGCAAATGGAACTACGTGGGCAATTTATTTTTCAAAGGACACCAATGTTGCTGTGCCTTTTAGATGCAAACATGGAAGACCTCAAGATATGTACAGATAGAGATTTATTTTCTTA